TGATCCTGCCCCTCTGCTCCACCCTGGTGAGGCACCTCTGGAGTGCTGTGTCCAGGTCTGGGCTCCTCAGGACAAGAGAGACACAGAGCTGCTGGAGCTGGTCCAGCAGAGGGTGACAAAGATGATGAGGGAATCTCTTTTAGGAGGAAAGGATGAGAGAATTGGGCCTGTTCAGCCTTGAGAAGAGACGACTTTGAGGGACCTTCGTGTTAACAAGTATCTGAAGGGAGGGTATCAGATGATGGATCTAGGCTCTGTTTGGTCGTGCCAAGCAATAGGACAAGAGTCAATGAGCACAATGATGCACAGGAAGTTCCACCTGAACATGAGGAAGAGATTCTTTAGCATGCAGTGATCAAGCATTGGAACAGATTGCCCAGAGAGGCTGTGGAGGCTTTAGGGATACTCAAGAACTGTCTGGACACAATCTTGTGCCATGTTCTCTGGCAATACCCTGCTTAAGCAGGGATGTTGAACCAGATGACCCCCTGTGGTCCCTTCCAAACCGACCCATTCTGTGATTATGTGAAATAAAATTACACATTTCTACATGCTACATTAATACTGGGTTGAGGAACAGCATTGATAAAGATAGCTTTAAATGTAATTCTTAACCAAGTTTACAAACTAAACTTCAAAACTTAAAAAATCTCACTTCCACATGATTTTTTATTTTCTTATGAAAATCATGAGATTCCATACCTTGTTTTTGAAGTAAACCTCAATGGGTAAAATGAAACCAGCATATCCAGATTCTTCAACTTTGTAGGGTGGATCCTTGCACACTGAAACAGATAAAAAACAGTATTAACAAAAAACAAACAAACAAAAACCAACAAAAACAAAAACAAACAAACAAACAAAAAAAACCAACAAAAAAACACCCAAACCACAACCTAAAATTCATAAGCAAGCCACATGAGTAAATCTGAGACAATTGTTGTATGTGGCACCATTAAACCACACACACACAGCAGGATGTATTTGTGCATAACCCAACCTGAATTTTGCAGGCAAATATTTCCTACCTGCATAAAACCTCCACTTTATGGATAGGAAATCTTTATCTCAAATTTGAAAACTTAATTATCAGGGAAGGAGGAACACAACACAGCACTCCATCATACAGTGAAGAACATGAGGAAGGTTAACTATGATATTATGTTTAAATAATATCCAGGTTCTCCTTACAGGATTCAGACTTCTGTAACAATACAGTGCATATTATTAGCCATAATACCATCTTTTTCTTCAAGTTCTCAGTTTAATGCAAGGGCTTTTAGCTACTTTGAGTCCCCACAGTACTGAATAGCAGATCTCTGAAGAAAGTGGCACTAGCTGTCAACTCCGGACAGTGACAAAAAGCAGGTTGTTACAGAACTTGGAACAGAAGCCATCTCTGCCTTCTCCTGTTTGATTACATGGCAATCTCATTACAGAATTCAAGTCCCTGTAACACATCAGCAAAAGGGGAGGCTAAGCTTGAGAAACCATGCATCTAACTGCAGCATCAACTCAGATGTTTCCAAATGCTGCATTGCTATGTATGACAAATCATATCTATGGCACTACCATCTCAGTGAAGGTTTCTCTACTGTAGATTGGTAGAACGATGCAATTAATAACACAAAAGGTTATCTCCCCAGAAACATTTCCTCTAGCTCTGTCAACCTAGCTGACTGGATAAAAAAAACCAAACTATCAGATGAATCACTATTTACTCAGACATATACTCCTTTCAGAATTGCCTGGTAGTTTGCAAAAAGAATGTATTGCAATTAACTGTACAGGGCCTGATTACCAAAATTATTCTTTTTAGCAAAGCACCGCAGATGGGCGCTTAAAATCCTTTTTGCCTCCTGGCAGAAAAAAACAGAGGAGCTATATTTTGTCGAGTGGGATTTGAAAGGTTTTGAAAAAAAGCATTACAAAGATTGGTCAAATCTCAGAGAAAGTTTCAGACTAAGGTCTTCAGTTGGAAACGAAACTGGATGAATTTCCCAGAAGTAGTATTTCACCTTATATTGGCATATCTTCTCCTAAGAAGACTTGCCAGCATTTGAAAAATGTAAATATAATAGCCCTAGTTAAGCACTGAGGTTACAGTAATATGTATTGGCAATTTTTCAGTCAGCGATTCCAGCTCCTCCTCTGCCTGCAGTAGACAACTTGAGGAGAAAGCCTTCACAATACTTTTTGGTCACACAGAAGATTACACAAAAATGGGAAAAGATTAGACAGCAGATACTTAATCAGACAAATGCACAGGTTTAAAAATGGTGATTTCAGGCTGCATATTTGTGACATTGCAAATATCATATTAATTCTTCCAGAGCCCTTAACTGGTGCAGAAAACCTCATTAGCATAAATATTTTTCATTGCCTCCCTCATTAAGCTCTTCTTGCAGATTTACACAGCTGTTTACCATGCTCAATAATATCTCATCAAAGTCTCACGGCTCTTCAAAGAATCTTTAACAGCTCCCAGTTTTGATAAAGCCTGGATAATGGGATGCAGAACAATCACTAGAAAACTAATTTGTGCGTCTTCCCAAACTGAAAGATGGGCTTTTAGCACAAGGAAAATTCTAGTCTTGTGAATGAAACCTTCTTGAAGAGAAACAGAAGTGATTGAGCAAAGCTCAGTGCTATTGTGTATGTGTAGATTGCAGCTATTACATTCTTCTCACATTTTCTGTGGAAGTCGCCACTGACAGAGCATACTGACAGAAAAAGCATTTCTGTGCACTCTAAAACAGCACTCCCTGGAATAAGTTTTGTTTTATTCGACTGTCATAAGGAGTAATCAGGGCTTCTGTGACATGTGGTTTAGCCAAGCCAACAGGAAATCATCCCAGCAAGGTATGTTGAGCAGAAAAAAGAGAAGTGGCAAGAGTTAAGTAAGACACAGAAAAGGAAGTAAAAAAAATGAAAACAAAATAAAAAAACCCCAAAACTGAACAGGAGAGAAGAGGGGGGGAAAAAGTCCCAAATCTGTAGTGTAGAAGCTAAAGAGAAACAAAAGCAACTTGTAAATATAGACGAACAGAACTCAACCAACAAAATAAACTAGGAAGGAGTGATTTTGAAAAAGAAAGCATCTGGAGTCCCTAACAGATTTCCCAAAGCTTGCTAGGAAAAAAGTGGCTATGGCAGACTAGGTACATAAGCAGAAAACGCTTCCTTGTTACAAACAATTTCCTCCTGATCCACAGGGACAGAGGCATTTCACATCTGACTGCTCCTTTCCTTTAAAGTGGCACCTAAAAATGCATTTCAAGTGCAAGACCAAGTGTCTTGAATACCATTTACCACTAAGTTGATTATTATGGTCGGTTTCTTTCTCCTAAGGAAAACGTTTGTACGAACACAATTTTCTCCCTCTCTGTTGTATCTTTTGACTAGGTGGTCCAAATTCAAGGCAGTCTCTACAACTATTAAGGCCCTGAAGGTTCCTACAGACCCAGTTAAAGACTGGCATCTGATAAGGCAGTTCCAGGGAACATCTTCACTGAGATGCAGGAAGAAACATGCAACAACATACAGAATAACAAACCAATTATAACAGTGCTGCCTGTCACAAGAGTTGTAGATCCAGGAGAAGTAAAAAAACATAAGCGAAATTATACATATTTCTTTACACGCACTGGCCACAGAATAAAATGTGAGGGTTTTGTCGCCTGTGCAAGGCAAATCAAGGAGTTTAACTCAGTTGATCAGAGCACGGTGGGAATAATACCAACATTATGCATTCAATCCTTGTACGGGCCACTTAAATTTAGGACTCTATCATCCTTGTGGGTCTCTTCCAAGTTAGAATATTTTGTGAGCTCATGGTACTGACCTGTTACTGTATGTTCATCAGAATAATCATTTTTCTTCTCCCATAAATGAAAATTTTAGTCTTAATGTATCTGCAAATACATTTGCTAAATAGATAGAGCAACTAAAACAATTTTAGGTGCAACTTTGAAATAAAGATAGGAGCTCATGCAATGCAATCATACTGCTGAAGTCTGTCCCTTATGTTCATCATGTTTCATTGTACTGTTGGATCAATATTACTGTAACAAGCAGTAACACTTGGTATGTTTAAGGCCACAGAATGGAAATTAGATCAAACAGGTCTCTAATTATAGCTAAAGCTCTTTTCTAATAATGCATAGGAGCTTGAGCAGAGATGAAACCAAATGACAACCAAAAGTTGTAAAAAGATAGACGGAATAAGGGAAGGGGTAAAAGCAAGAGCAAGAAGGCTCAGGTGCTAGGACAAGAAGAAGGTGCAATGATGGTTTCCCTTAATGGTGAAGAACCACACACATGTGCATACGGGTATGACTGCACAGGTGATCAATTCTAGTACTGGGCACACTTCAGGTGCTCACCTACAGTACTACTGTCACATAACCTCCTGTGACAGACCACTGTTCAGCCACTCAGCTGCAATGCTAGCTGTATTACAAACAATTAACAGGAATAGTCAAAAACATCCTGGTTATGCTGATCCATTAATTTTGAGCTGCCTTCCTATACAAACAGGTTCCAGTAATCAATAGATGAGAATTAATAGATGAGAAGCTCCTCAAACAAAACCTGCCTTCCAGCAAGCAACTGCAAGGTATTAATGGGCATCAGTAACAACAATATTATCACTACTACTACATGATTAATACGGATTTCTTCTTAATAATGATTCAATATCTGTTTAGGTTACATTGCCTAATCATACTACCAAGAGGCCCTGAAGAGAGATCTTGACAAATCAGAGGGCTGGGCAATCACCAAACTGTATGAAGTTTAACAAAGACAAGTGCCAAATTCTGCACCTGGAATGGGGCAACCCTGGATATGCAGAGAGACTGGGAGATTAGACACTGGAGAGGACTGCTGCAGAAAGGGACCCTCCCAAATCAGGATATTCCATGAATCTGTGACACTCATTCTACATGTAAGAAAGAAATGAGAGTGCTCAGTTCTCATCTAGTGCATTCTACAACTGAATTCTTTTCATAATGCCTGCAGAATGAGTCAGCCATGATCACAGAAAGTCAGAAGAAGCATTGATGATTACCTGCCTCCTTTCTATCACGAGAATACACCTTCTCTACAGCTCATATAAATTCCTTAAATCACTTATCTCAAATGTTTTATTTCGTTATTCCACAAGTGAAGCACTATTTTCTCTTTCACAAATGCATTCCCATGAGTTGCATCAGACATTAACTGACACTTAAGGCACAGATGCAATCAAGCCACAATGCCACATTTCACTGACAGTGACTACACTGAAGCATTTGGGCATAAAAATAACAACAAAATTCTAGTTAAAACTATCATTCTTAAAAGCTTTAACATGAGATTTGTTTGCCATTTTAGCGCTCTATAACACTTCGTTATGGATAGTTTTTTCTTTATTAAAAATACAGTCCGAATGAACAAATAAAGGCAGAAGCTCCCTTTAAGCAGATTTCAACACAGTATCAGGATGATGCAGAATAATGTCTGCAAGAATTCACACATATTTTATATATCCTGCAGGATACACAAGGTGGGTAACTGTAAGAAGTGATGCCTTCTTAAAGAGAACTGGTTTAGCCATAAGGTTTTTTGTACTAGTATTTATAGATACTTGCCCATTATTTGCTCACACTTGTCACGCTCTGACCAACTTTTCCATCTATTCAATACCACGTTCCTTAAAAGAAATCTCGAAATGAAGGGGTGGCATTCATTTTCAGAGGCAGGCAGATTGTGGTACCAAATCCCTTCTACAGCAATAACTCAGCTTTAAATATTCAGCTCTGATTTTTTAAAAGCTCTTTGACTCTGCTATTCTGCAGCTCACCTTGCCAGCTGGAAAGGTCTAATACTTGGATTCTTTGAAAAAAAAAATACAAAAACAGCCTGGAAGAGAATGGCTCTGTTATTTTCTAACTTCAGGCACACGTTAATATATAGAAAAAAAAAAATCTAGGCAGGTTCAAACAAACTAGTAAAAATCACTAAAATGGGCAGGATTTAAGTGGTATGTCCTAGACTAGGAATAAGGAGTGTCTATTTGCTTTATGCTGACACATACTTCATGAGAAACATAAAACCCCAAGAGAAAGCACAGAAGGCATTAAAAGTTCTAAGACTGGGCTCTCAGCACTGCATTTACAGACATATTACAATGTCTCCCTCACATACAGAGTGATCAGATCCCACCACTTCTACCAACTGGATAGGATAGCAAGATACAGCTTAAAACCCTTTAAAGTGAACCCTAACTAAATTTTGGAGTGACATTTTCTGTACACACTGCCTACTCTCCAACCATTAAATTGCTTCGTCATCAACTGAGAACAATCTAATACACAAGATAGGAGGGCAGGGAAGTCTCCAAGTCTGTGGCTGAGTTTGGACTCAATCACACTTGGGCTCCATCAGGAATTTAGAAAGCAACATGGTCATCTCTGAACCTTGTGACTCAGAGGGAGGGTCTCACCATTTTACATGCTTATTCTTTTCCATCTCTGGTCTGTGTGAATCATTCTAAGTTGATTCTAATCCGATTTTGCTTTGTGTATTTCATCTACACAATATGTGATAGAGTGAAACTTGTCATTGAACTTTGTTAGTCAAAAATTTATATTAAACCTGCTTTTGCTACTATCTTTGACAGTATTTTAAGCAACCTAAACCACTCATTTGCAAGTCACTGTTACGTGTGATGGAACTCTGCTTTTCTGAGGATGGCTGAACTTTTGCCTACCCATGAAGGAAGTAGTGAATAAATTCCTTGTTTTGCTCTGCTTGCATGCAAAGCTTTTGCTTTTCCTATTCAACTGTCTTAATCGGAACCCACAAGTTCCCCACTTTTATCCTTCCAATTGTCTCCCTCCTCCCACTGCAGGGAAATTAATAGGCTGTTGGGTGGTGCATAGATGCCAGCTGGGGATAAACCACAATATTACCCCTCCAGGACTTCCAGCAGAAGGACCATTTTCCAGATATAGAAAAATCCTCAGGCAGCTGCAAAATTTTCAAAGTCCAGTACACATCACAGATGGTGCAGAAGCCCCTCCTCTTGACTAAAGGACAGAGACATTTGTCACCTGTATTCTGCACTTCACACACAAGCAAAAGTCCCTACTTACACATTCAGAAGTTACTGGAAATGTGTAGGATCATGCATAGTTTATGCCTGCCATCCCTTGTCTGCTCCCTCCCATTTCCTCTGAACAAAACAGGAATTCAAACAAAAAAGAAAAAGACATGAAAAAAATATGAAAAAACTAAATAAGAAAAAGAATAAAAACGAGTACTTTTAAACTGAAGTCATTCCTACATTTCCTGCTTTATGTCTTGAAAAAAAAAATCTAGAAAATCGTATTTTTTCAATACAGTTTCTACAATTTCTCAAAAATTACTGTTAAAAAATATACTTATGTCTCAGGTATCAATGGAGTACAGCACTTCCAGAAACACCTGGTCTAGAAGTCTCTTAGACAAGCATGACAATAAAGCAAAAGAAAAGCTCTTTAACAACTGAACTGCATCTAAAGCTGCCTGGATAATAACATAATAAACAAAAAAAATTCTCTTTGATGCAAAACCCATTAGGTATAACACTAAAAACTCAGACAACAAATGTCAATTTGCCCTGTAGATACCATTAGTATTTAAGAGTAATGAAATTTTCCAGTAATTGTGCACTAATACGTTCTCATATTTGTATAGAGGGTACAGCCCTTGGGATTTTCTTCTTTACTTAGAAAAACAGGTCCCACATTTGCAGACTTGAAGTAATTTCTTTCTTGGTTATTAATGGGAAGAAGAGGTATATCATTAAAGACTTTGCATAGAGAATATTTTTTCTTAACCTGCGGACAGATACTTCACACAATAACTCTTACTCTCTATTTTAACTGCATTATGTTACGCAAGGATCAAACTGGGAATAAGCATTTCAGAACCAAAGTCCATCTGTATACCAGTGATGCCATAACTGTGTCAAAATTTTGGGGTTAAAGAAATTTTACAAGCAAGTTAAGACTAATTTTTTTTTCCTCACATCCTTCATGGTTATTTTACTTGATTCACTGCAGAATGAGTAAGGCTGCAAGGGACCACAAATGGAGCATCTGGTCCAACCTTCCTGCTCAAGCAGGGACATCCTAGAACATGGCACAGGTTTGTGTCCAGACAGTTCTTGGGTATCTCCAGTGAGGAAGACTCCACAGCCTCTCTGGACCCTCTCCAACAGCTCCTTGTCTCTCTAGTCCTGTGGAGCCCTGAACTGGACACAGCACTCCAGGTGTGCCTCACCAGGGCTGAGTACTGACCAAGCTGTCCAATAGATCATAGCTTTCTTAGGCAAAAGTGTAGCTAAGTTTTTTCTTATGCATAAAAGCCATTCATCATACAGTTCATCTGGATTAAATTGCATTTGCAAATTGGTCTTTTTTTTCTTTTAAAAAATACCACAAAACTATTTGGAAAGCTATTAATGGAAACATTACCAAAATTTTACTCATTTATATGCTATAGAATAAACAATTTCCTCTGTAATCCCTAGCTGTATTTGTTTCTGAGAGAAGCTACATAGCATTGTTTCCAATTTTCCAGTCAGCAACATCTTTCCAATTTCACTGTTGAGTTGCAAGCATTCAGTAAAAAGGAAATAGTTTTGATTATAATTCTTGAAAGAACAATTTTGGGGATTGTAACTTAGTTACACAGATCTTGGGGAAAAAAAAGTGCAGTGCTTCGTAGTAACATTTACATAGGCAAACTGCTAACACTAGTTTTTTTAATCAAATATACCAATCTTTGTTCAGACACCATTATCACACCAACAATTCTTCTAAAAATCACTGGAAAAGCTACGTTTTGGGTTTGTGACGAATATCTAAATGGAAACACTAAACATGTTGCTCTTTGCAATGTATTTATCCTGCCTTGGTATTCCTCTGGCACATATTTTCTCCATGTATTGTATTGATTAAATAGCAGCTTGAAAAGCAGAGAGTAGAAATAATCCCGTGTCAACATCTTGAACAAAAATTAGAGTGCATACCACCAGCTAGACATATAAGAAACAAGTAATCTTAAACCACTCTAGTTTCATTAGTTATCAAGACTTTAAAAAAGACTGCAGAGGAACAAAAATTTAACACTTTTCTTCAGTTTTGATAAGGGGAACGTAATGATTCACCTTGGGTGAAGAAAGGCAATTCAAACTTGCAAGGTGACTTATGTGCAACAATTTCAATCTAAAACACATCCTCCATTTAATATTCATTTATAATTCTCTCAGGTATTACAGTAGATATTGTCTAGAGGACATTACATTACTCAAAATGAAAATCATCACTTTATGCTAGTACATCATATGCTTTCAAAGGAGTCATACTCTCAGAGCAATTTTTTTTTATATAAAGGCAGATTTTTTTTTTTTTTTTTTTGCTTGGAGACAATTTATCCAAACCATTATTTCCCATAGTAGATTGACTGATTGGCAATAGTTAATTGCACAGGAAGGGTTTTTAAAATCTGGCATATTTAATTCTAGAGATTCCTTACCTTTCTTATTTTTCACTTGATAGTTTCTTCTGATTTTTTTGTTTGTTTGGGTATTTGTTTTTGTTATTAGTTTTACCCCCAACAAACTGGGGATATACTACTTCACTACCTAAAGCTGTAATTGGAGGATTAACCCTGATATGTAAATGGACCAAACTTATAACTGTATGAAAAACTTGTGACCATCATCTATCTTGAGTGTAACCCCTCTCAGAGGCTTCTGACTGCTCAAATGAAGGCCTTTAATAAATACCTGCTTTCATGCACTTCATCTTAACTAGCTTCTGTTTTAGGTACCATTCCAAGGCATCAGCTGTACTAGCTTGAACGCAAACCAGTGAGAGATTCCATATCAGAAGCACAATTTAAGAGGAAAAAATTAAATAAATGCCAGAAACACTGGCTTAACCTGACAGAGTCAGGATACAACCTGACACCCTGTCAGTCACAGTGGTGGTAGCAGTCTGATTAAATGGTGGCTGCAATTCTGTTGAAGTGGTAGGTGTGGTCCTGTTGAAGCAGTGATCCTGTAGAAGGGTCTTCTCTGAAGGTCCAATGGTGGTTATGGAGCTCCTGTCCTCTGGGAATCCAGTAGGTAGGGCAGTGCGTGGTGTTCCAAACCTCAGATTTTATGCAGATAGGAATGCTTGTTTCCTCCCCTTGGGTGGAGCATCTCACAGTGGGATGATGTAATTTTTGAGTCATGCAGTGAGGCTTGATGGCCCATTAACAGAAGATATCTCCCACCAGAGGGAATTACCAGGGATGAGCCATGGAAGAGACAGCACTGCTCCACCAGGTCTTAACAGCTTATGGAAATGGAGATAGAACACACACTTTTGCTTACATCTTACATTGTAACCTAAGACAGCGGTTCTCTGGGTTTTTTCAATAGCAATTGCCCTAGGAAATTGTATGAATACACACATCTTAGATTTTGTTCTCAGTCTGATCTTCACAGATTTGAGAAAACTCCAAAGCACCATGTGTATGCAGTTTGTTGTTCAGTTAAGAAACTAAAAGAAAGGCTATGTGTCTGTGTTTCCCTAATCAGAGCAAAACTCTTAAGCAGGCATCCCCATTAATTTTTCTGTACATTTTCAAAAGATTAAATCCTTCCACCAGCCAAGTGTTTTAAAAGTAACATGATATATCAAAGACAGTGTTAGTTTTTAAATTGATGATGTTCCTAGTAATTTAATTTCAAAAAGGTAAGCACAAAACTCAACAAGACATCAGCCCCCAGTTTGACTGCCACACTTTTGGAGCATCTGTGTCTTTGCCTTTCTTTAAAATTGCTTTTCAAACTAGAACTCCAAACCTAGACAACATAACAGAAAAATTGCCTCCAAAAACACCATCCTTCCCCTTTTTTTTTCTCTTGTGACATGATATTCTGCTGCCATTTACCATGGTTTCCCCTGCAGGAGCCTTTGGACACTTTTGGAGATTTCAAAGGGATGGCAGACAGAAAGCACCTAAACAGCAAAGAAAGTAGAACTTGTGGCTAAAAAGCACATGTCCTTATTCAAAGCAAGTGGAAGGGGAAGATTCAGTAGACAGCAGCAGAAAAGTCTCACTTGGTACAGAAGCTAGACAAGTAGCATCTCAAGCTGTAAGCTCTGGATTTGGGTGTGCAGGCACTGGAAAGGGTTCCTCTGCAGGTGCTGCTCTCCCCCCGCCACCCATTCATTTAAGGGAGCACTCAGTAGCTTCTATAAGCCCACATATACCCTAACACTTGTCCTCTAAAGCAGGCCTCATAGGAAGTGAGGCTGAACCTGTGCCATCACACATTTCCCCTGCAGCAGCAGCAATCAGCAGCCCCTAGTCAGCATGAACCCAACACTCAGGATCACCTCCTTGCTCCACACCACCTACATATACTTGTGTTCCCCATTTGCTTCTCTGCCACCAGTCATAGTAAGGGCTAGTTCTGAATGGTCTGTTATCTGAGAAACTGAACACAAACAAAAAACCCTTTGCCTAAAGTAAGATCACAGTGTCAGAAAAACGCCATCCACAGCCTCATGCTGAGTGACCACTGAAGAACCTTCCACAAGCAAAATGCAACATACTACAAAGAAAACAATAATAAAATTGAGGCTGAAGACTCTCTAGTGCACTTCAGTACAAAAACCCAAAGCAAAGCTAATAACATGCCAGTAGGAGCCCCACATTTGAAAGGTGGGGAGAACCTTGAGGTGGAATAGAACGAGAGGGCTTTTGTTCTAGCAGACAACTCCCACATATATCTTCAAGAACTGACTGCTGTCAGCAGCAGAACTTCAGCCACGTGCTTCAGAAACTAAGAACACTTCCATGGCTGTTTGCCATGCCATTTTAGACAGACTGCAATTACAGGAAATACTGAAGGAGATGGAATAAATCAGTCACACAGTTGTCACCTGTAGAAATCCCCAAACAGGCTTTCTGCAGGTTTTGAGATGGGACACATTTAAATCTCTTCTATTTAATAATTATTTACTTTTCAGAGTCCTCTAAGACAAGCCTTGCTAACATAAGTAGGACTAAGCTAAGAGAAGCAATCAAAGGACAGGAATTGAAAACATACATAGCAAATTAATTATTTTTAGAATATTTCACCATTATCTTCCAAAATGTCCCAAAGTTGCTTTATGAAGAATATTTACTTATGTGCACAAAAGACAGTATGACAAAAAACAGTTAAGCTGTATAATGGTCCACATAGTAGTAGCAACGGAACATTCTTCATTTTCCTCAACTTTACATGCCTCTGAGGACAGTACAAAGGACCAAACCACTTGAGAGTAGATTTTGGGGAAAGGACAAATCAACAGCATCTCTCCCTTGCACTTTGCTTTACTTAAGAGCAAAAGACAGACTGACTGAAATTAATGTTGAGCCATTCTGAATTTTTCTTTCACAAGCAATCACAAACAGACTTTAAGCTTTCCCACAGACAGAGCAAGCTGAAGCATTTAAGACACCCAAGACAAAAGCAAGCAATAGTAGGGATGGCCACTTTACAAGTAGTGGTACACAACAGGAGAGAACTTCCCAGTAATAAAAAACCCACAGCAAAGTCAGTCTTAAAACAAGGCTAACAGTTGAATGCAGGGTCAAGAAAAGTATAACCAGCTCCTACTTGAAGACTTCAGAACCATTAAAAATATCAGGGTGTACTGGAAAAGTAGCATATAGACATAATGTACTGCAGAAAAAAAAACCTGTGTGAAACAGAACAAATACAGAACACTCACACTAACAATCTTAATTTTATTTATTGAACAGGGAGACTGTTTTGACTTTCATCATTCTTAATGAGGCATTTTTCAGTATGAGTGCTATTTACAACATTTATTAATGACTGAATATAAGACAAGTACCCTAGTGAGAAAAAAATCCTTGATGAAAGAGAATTACGTTATGTTCCAGCTGAGCATAATGAAGATAATCAGCTGATTTAATGTA